TCTTGGGGCCATCGTGGGACATTTTGGGGCCATCTTGGGCCGTCTTGGCCTCCTGAGGCTCGCTTCGGAGCCTCTTCGGGCAATCTCGGAGGCCTCTCGGGCCGTTCTGGCCGCGCGGGGGCGTCACTATGAGAATTCTGGGGTGGCCCGGAGCAGCCATGATTTGAGGTTCCCCCCCGTCTGTTAACTGTTTGGTGACGCGGCGTGGCCCCCTAGCAGACAGTAAAAAGGAGGCAGGAAACAGGTCTGGAGAGACAAAAGGCCAAACAACAAATGACAACACATAACACATGACAGCAGACCGCACACACCTTCGCAGCCTTGCGCCCCCGGAGGGGACCGGCGGATATAGGCGCGCGTCTATATTGCGAGGGCCAGGACGACAACGACGATGACGACGACGCTGACGTGGGTCAGAGTCCTCAGGGATTCTGTTTGGGGTCTCTTCGGAGCGCTCTCGGAGGCCTCTGGGGGGTTTGGGGGGCCCATTCGGAGCATCTTGGAGGCCTCTTGGGAGCATCTTGGGAGCCTCTTAGGAGCCTCTTGGGGCTTCCTCGGGACCTCTCGGGGGCCTCCAGGAGCCTCTTGGAGCCTCTTGGGGGCCTCTTGGGCGCCTCTTGGGGCCTCCTGGGAGCCTCTCGGGGCGGAGGACTCGAAATGTCCGTTTGGTTCCCCTGTGTGGGCACCCTCTTGGAGTCCTCTTTGGGAGCCTCTTGGGCCGTCTTGCAGGCGTCTTAGGCCGTCTTCGAGTCCTCTTTGGCCCGTTTCGGGATCCTTTGGGAGGCCTCTTGGGGCGATCGTTGGAGCCTCTTGGGCCGTCTCGGAGCGTCAAGAACGCCCAAGTCCTTGAAAAAATTAAGGAAAATCAGGAAATGTTGCCTCTTCGGGCTCTCTTGGGAGTGCTCTTTGGGGCCTCTTGGGGCGTCTTCAGCCCTCTTGGGCCGTCTGGAGGGCGTAAAGACATCTTGGAGCGATCGTTCGGCGATTCGGGGTCCTCTTGGACCGTCTGGGGGGCCTCTTGGGGCACTCTTGGCTCGTCTTGGGACGTTTTTGGGCCCCAGGCACCCCCAGGGGGGGTGGTACTCTGACCCTAGACCCCCTGTGGACCCCACCCAGGGACGCTCCCCCCCCCCCACTGGCGGGGAAGGGATCAAAGGGAAAGGGCTTCCCTTCGACTCAATTATCCCGTTGCTCAATTTCGTTTTGGTTGGCGTGCTTGAGGAGGAGGGCCGAGGAAAAGGGGAGGGCGGCGACGGGCCTAGGGAAGGAGCGGCGACGACGACGACGGCGTCGACGAAGACGAGTCAAACGGAACAGCCTCTTCCACACGCTGACATGGTCGGCTGATTTATGTATTGAATGGCGTAGACAGTACATCGAATAGTAACGAAGTTATTGTGCTGGATACGCGCATGTAAAACAGCTGTCCCTGCGAGAGCACTGCTGTTTCGACGGCCACGTCGTCGTATGTCTCTTCCGAGATGGTCGTTGTCGCCATTCTCTCATCCCCTTCATTATCCTCCCTCATCTCTTTCTCCTCCTCCTTCGTCATACCCCTTCCCCCTTCTTCCCTTTCCTCCTTCCCCTCCGCCCTCCTTCCCCCTCCTCCTCCTTCTCGTCCTCCTCCCCCTTCCGCCATGGTCCTCCTCCTGGTCCTCCTCCTGATCATCCTCTATGTTCATGCTTTCCACGCGTGCGCTCATGCTCCCGTGATCATTATCATCCTGCTCCCCTTCCTCGTCCCCCTCCCATCTCTTTATCCTTCCCCCCCTCTTTCTATTACGCTTCCTCCCCACGCTTCTCCTCCTCCCTTTTCCCCCCGTCCTCCTCGGTGTTCTCCCCCCCTCATCCTCCTGCTCCTCATCCTCCCACCTCGTGTCTCTTTCCTGCACGGCGCTTTCCGTTCGGACGTTTCGTCTGCCCGCCCAGACGCCACCCGACCTCCCTTTTGTGCCTCCCCTCGCCCCGCCTCCGCGCGGCAGACGCCGGGCCCAGCACGCCACATGCCACGCAGGTATCAAGCACCGATGCGGTACCCGTGTCGGCGAAGACAGGAGATTCAACGCATCCAGGGGCGAGGGGTGGAGGGGGGTAGCCAGGTGCGCCGCGAGCGCGCTCAGCTGGACTCTCTACTCCATCCTCTCTATTTCTGAGTCTCCCTCTTTTTTTACATCTCTCTCTCTCAGTCTCTCTCTCTCTCTCTCTCTCTCTTTCTCCTCATGGAACAAGGAACCATTCAATAAGGAATCCAGGGTCTGGAAGCCAGCGGGGCACCAACTGAGGCTTGGCCATGGATGTCACCGCCGCCCTCATTAGAGAAGGAGTCCTCCAGGCTCTGAAGCCTCTTGGGCATTTTCCGTAACCATCGCCCCCCAACGTCTGACACCTCTTTCTCCATTTTCTATCTCCCTCTTCCTCTCTCTCTCTCTCTCTCGCACGTTTCCTCGGCGCAGGAAAAGGAGGCGGATGAGGAGGAGGCTAGGTCCACGGGGAGGACGCGTAAGGACAGAAGAACGAATGCAGGGAGTGAGAGGGACAGAGGGGGAAGAGGCGGAGGAGGAGGAGGTGGAGGAGGACGGAGCGAGAGGAAGAGGCGGACGGTGAGGCGAAGGGACAGAGGATAAGGGGAATTGGGAAACGGAAGCGGAGGAAGGGGAGGAGCGGGGCCAGGAGGAGGAGGAGGAGGAGGGCAATCCATAACAAGGAGGAGGACACCTACGCCGCAGGGTGTAGGGCGAGGAGGGAGAACGTCTGCGGGGCGTTGACGGTGGACCAGGGCGACGAAGCAGCAAAACGGTAACGAGGACGACCACGAGGACGAGGGTGTGGGCCAGGCGCTCGCCGTCGCTGGCCTGGGGGTGGTCGGCAGGGACTTTTACGGCGTGTTCCCGCTGCGGGGCAAGCTGAGGACAGCGGGCATTCTACGATTGCCGCGGGAGGGGGATGAGAAGAAGAATGGGAAGGACGAGGAGAAGGATGAGGAGGAGGTGGAGGAGAACCATATAAGTTGTGGTGGGGACTACAGTAGTAGTAGTAGTAGTAGTAGTAGTAGTAGTAGTAGTAGTAGTAGTAGTAGTAGTAGTAGTAGTAGTAGTAGTAGTAGTAGTAGTAGTAGTGGTAGTAGTAGTAGTAGTAGTAGTCTAGTAGTAGTAGTAGTAGTAGTAGTAGTAGTAGTAGTAGTAGTGTAGTAGTAGTAGTAGTAGTTGTAGTAGTAGTAGTAGTAGTAGTAGTAGTAGTAGTAGTAGTAGTAGTAGTAGCAGCAGTAGCAGCAGTAGTAGTAGTAGTAGTAGTAGTAGTAGTAGTAGTAGTAGTAGTAGTAGTAGTAGTAGTAGTAGTAGTAGTAGTAGTAGTAGTAGTAGTAGTAGTAGTAAAGTAGTAGTAGTAGTAGTAGTAGTAGTAGTAGTAGTAGTAGTAGTAGTAGTAGTAGTAGTAGTAGTAGTAGTACTACGAGTAGTACGAGTACGAGTACGAGTACGAGTACGAGTACGAGTACGAGTACGAGTAGGAGGAGGAGGAGGAGGAGGAGGAGGAGTAGTAGTAGTAGTAGTAGCACTAGTAGTGGTAGTAGTCGTCGTCGTAGTCGTAGTCGTAGTCGTAGCAGTAGCAGTAGTAGTAGTAGTAGTGAGTCTAAAAATAGTAGTAAGTATTCGATGTAGTAGTAGTAGTGAGCGATGGCAGTCTAGTAAGTAATAGTAAGTAGTAGTAATTTAGTAGTAGTAGTAGTAGTAGTATAGTAGTAGTAGTAGTAGTGGTAGTAGCAGTGGGCAGTAGTAGTAGTAGTAAGATATTAGCAGTAGTATATTAGTAGTAGTAACCAGTGAAGTAGTAGTCCCAGTAGTTGTAGTATACCAGTAGTAGTAGTAGTACCAAGTAGTAGTAATGTAATCAGTAGAAGTAGTATAGTAGTAGTAGTAGATAGTAGTAGGTTAGTAGTAGTAGTAGTAAGTATAGTAGGTAGTAGTAGTAATGATGGTAGTAGTAGTAGTATGTAGTAGTAGTAGTTAGTAGTAGTAGTAGCAGTAGTAGTAATAGTAGTAGTAGTAGTAGTAGTAGTAGTAGTAGTAGTAGTAGTAGTAGTAGTAGTAGACGCAAATCCGGACTGCGGCCCCATCCCAAAGGGGGAAAGGGTTTTACCCCCCCCCGGGGGGGACCTACGGCGTCGCGTCGCGTCGCAGGGGTGGGAAGGGCAGACAATCGTGGACTTGCGGTTTCCCGTTGGTTCCTGCGGATTCCGATTGATTCCAGAGAGAGATGCCTGAGAACTTTTGCGCGATGAGCGATTTTTACCTAACAGCGAAGACTGAGGGGTTTCTAGTAGGGTCAAAAGAGAGCATCTTTACCCCCAGAACTCCATTCCCGGGTCACATTCTGAATGCCCGGAGCCAATTGTAGGCCACTTCGTGGTCTTCGAGTTCCCAGAACTCCACTCCCGGGCCACATTCTGAATGCCCGGAGCCCACTGTAGGCCACTTCGTGCTCTTCGAGTTCCTAGAACTCCATTCCCGGGCCACACTTTGAATGCCCGGAGCCAACTGTAGGCCCTTCGTGGTCTTCGAGTTCCCAGAACTCCGTTCCTGGGTATGATTTTGAATGCCCGGAGCCAACTGTAGGCCACTTCGTGTTCCTCGCGTTCCCAGAATTCCATTCCCGGGCCACATTTTGAATGCTGAGGCAGGCTGATGTTGAGGCTGAGGCAGGCTGAGGCCGAGGCTGAAGGCAGACTGAGACTGAGGCTGAAGCAGGCTGAGGCTGAGGCTGAGGCAGGCTGAGGCTGAGGCTGAGGCAGGCTGAGGCTGAGGCAGGCTGAGGCTGAGGCCGAGGCTGAAGGCAGACTGAGGCTGAGGCTGAAGCAGGCTGAGGCTGAGGCTGAGGCAGGCTGAGGCTGAGGCTGAGGCAGGCTGATGCTGAGGCAGGCTGAGGCTGAGGCTGAGGCTGATGCAGGCTGAGGCTGAGGCAGGCTGAGGCTGAGGCCGAGGCTGAAGGCAGACTGAGGCTGAGGCTGAAGCAGGCTGAGGCTGAGGCTGAGGCTGAGGCAGGCTGAGGCTGAGGCTGAGGCAGGCTGATGCTGAGGCAGGCTGAGGCTGAGGCTGAGGCTGATGCAGGCTGAGGCTGAGGCAGGCTGAGGCTGAGGCCGAGGCTGAAGGCAGACTGAGGCTGAGGCTGAAGCAGGCTGAGGCTGAGGCTGAGGCAGGCTGAGGCTGAGGCAGGCTGAGGCTGAGGCTGAGGCTGAGGCTGCAGGCTGGCTGAGGCTGAGGCTGATGCAGGCTGAGGCTGAGGCCGAGGCTGAAGGCAGACTGAGGCTGAGGCTGAAGCAGGCTGAGGCTGAGGCTGAGGCAGGCTGAGGCTGAGGCTGAGGCAGGCTGATGCTGAGGCAGGCTGAGGCTGAGGCTGAGGCTGGCTGAGGCTGAGGCAGGCTGAGGCTGAGGCCGAGGCTGAAGGCAGACTGAGGCTGAGGCTGAAGCAGGCTGAGGCTGAGGCAGGAGGCTGAGGCTGAGGCTGAGGCAGGCTGATGCTGAGGCAGGCTGAGGCTGAGGCTGAGGCTGATGCAGGGTGAGGCTGAGGCAGGCTGAGGCTGAGGCCGAGGCTGAAGGCAGACTGATGTTGAGGCTGAAGCAGGCTGAGGCTGAGGCAGGCTGAGGCTGTGACTGCGACTGCCGTTGCCACTGCGACTGCCATCGCGAGTGCGACTACGACTCCGAGAACAGCAGAATTCTACAACAGGATTCTTATCTGAATCTTAAGGGGAATGCTTCCAGATATGCTCCTACACATATCTGTTAGGTTGCTTTGCCGGGATAACTACCTAACAGCGAAGACTGATAGGCTTCTAGTGGGGTCAAAAGAGAGCATCCTGATTCCCCAGGGGGGTCTGGGCAGGATCCGAGGGATGCCGGGGAAAACCGGGCACCCCCCAGGACTCATAAATTCTTAGAGTTTCCTATGGATTCCTATTCTTCGTGTTCCCAGAACACCATTCCCAGGACAAATCCTGAATGCCCGGAGCCAACAGTAGGCCACGCCGTGTTCTTTGTGTTCCCAGAACACCATTCCCAGGCCACATTTTGAATGCCCGGAGCCAACTGTAGGCCACTTCGTGTTCTTCGTGTTCCCAGAACACCATTCCCAGGCCACATTTTGAATGCCCGGAGCCAACGGTAGGCCACTTCGTGTTCTTCGTGCTCCCAGAACACCATTCCCCGGCCACATTTTGAATGCCCGGAGCCAACTGTCGGCCACCTCGTGATCTTCGTGTTCCCAGAACACCAGTCCTGTGCCATATTTTGAATGCCCGAGCTGAGGCAAGCTGAGGCCGAGGCAGGCTGAGGCCGAGGCAGGCTGAGGCTGAGGCAAGCCGAGGCAGGCTGAGGCCGAGGCAGGCTGAGGCTGAGGCTGAGGCAGGCTGAGGCTGAGGCAGGCTGAGACTGAGGCTGAGGCAGGCTGAGGCTGAGGCTGAGGCTGAGGCAGGCTGAGTGGCTGAGGCTGAGGCTGAGGCAGGCTGAGGCTGAGGCTGAGGCCGAGGCAGGCTGAGGCTGAGGCTGAGGCAAGCCGAGGCAGGCTGAGGCTGAAGCTGATGCAGGCTGAGGCTGTGGCTGAGGCTGAGGCTGAGGCCGAGGCAGGCTGAGGCTAAGGCCGAGGCCAGCCGAGGCAGGCTGAGGCTGAGGCTGAGGCTGATGCTGAGGCAGGCTGAGGCTGAGAGAGGCTGAGGCTGAGGCTGCGGCTGGCCGAGGCTGAGGCAGGCTGAGGCTGAGGCCGAGGCAGGCTCAGATAGGAATCCTTAGGATCCCCCAGGAATCCTTAGGAATCCCTTGGAATCCCTAGGAATCAGGATTTCTAAGGATTCCAAAGGTTTCCTAAGGATTCCTATGGATTCCTAAGGTTGCCTAAGGATGCCTTCGGAATCCCTAGGAATCCTTAGGATTCCATTGGATCCTAAGGCCGTTGCCACTGCCACTGTCATTGCGAATGCGACTGCGACTGCGAGAACAGCAGAATTCTACAACTGGATTCTCACCTGAATCTTAAGGGGAATGCTTCCAGATATGCTTATACACATCGCTGTTAGGTTGCTTTGCCGGGATAATTTTCAGAGGTCCTTGCAAGACTCAATCGGATTCCCTGAGGATCCGTACAGATCCACGAGGATTCCGAATGATGTTTTGGGATTTATGATGAGGATGTCTGAAGATTCCTACGGTCGATGGATTCCTTTGAATTCCTGAGGATGCCCGTTGATTCCTGGTTGTTAAGGTTCCTGAGGATTCCTTTGGGCGCCGAAGGATTCCTGAGCGATTCATGGGGGATTATAAGGGACCCCTAGGGATTCCTACGGATTCCGAGCGATTCCTATGGATTCCTGGGGATTCCGAGGGGTTCCTAGCGATTCCTACGAATTCTTATTGATTCCTACGGATTCCGAGGGCTTCTCAGAGGCCCTTCGGTCTTCTGGAAAGTTCCCAACGTCTCCGGAGAAGGCGCAGAAAACTTGCCAGAAAGCCAGAGGTCCTGCGAGCCTTCTAAGAAGGTGCGCCCCGTCTCACTTTCCTCGGGCGGGTGGCAATGGGGGGGGACCCGAATGGGGAGTGAAGACAAGGGCCCCAAACGGACCCTTTAGGGCCCCTTTAAGTCACCGAATGGCTCCACAGGGGGCTCGAAAGGGCTCCTTCAGGATTTGTTCTTCGCCCCCCTTGGGGGTCACCCCCCACCGCCACCCGCCCGATTCCCCCTGGGCTCGCCGCCGCCGATCGTGGATACAGCTCTGGCGTTCCGCATGACAGCCTCCGTCCGCCCAGGCCTCGCTCCTTGGGCTGCCCGGCTCCTCCTCCCTCCGTGGGAGACCTGGAGGTTGACACCAACACCAACATCGGCGGCGTGCCTGCACTGAGGGAAGGTGCTCCCGATCTCGGTGATAGCGGAAAAGGTCGGCCTCCTGGGTGGCCGAAGTGTTACCACCAACGCCGAATTCCAGGATCATCTTCCCTCGGTTGAGGCATGCCCGTGTGCTGGTCGGGGGCGGCAAAGAGGGGGGTGATGACTAGGGGGGGGGGATATCATGGCGGGGGCAATGATATTTCCCCAGATTTCATGGCGCCTCTCCTTATTTCATTACGTCCCTGGTCCCCCCGCTGGGCCGCGCACATGCCGCCAGTCATGATTTGCACCCCCCCTCTTGGACACCCCCCTCTTGGCCGCTCCCGAGCTGGTGTTGGTGCCCATTGCCAGGCCTCCCAGTCCGCTCCTGCCTCCCGCCCGCCGCCCCTCTCCGCTCTCACCCGGCCGGCCGCGGCTGCAGCGCGAGCTTGGGCGTGGCGCACCCGGTCCGGGGCGGCTATAGAGAGGTGCCCCCGGCCCCGGGTGCCCCCCGCTGCTCGCTCTACCTCTGGGAGCCCCCTGAAGCCCCCCTGGGCCTCGTAAGGGGTGCTCTGGAGGCCGTGGGGGCCGCGCCAGGGCATTTTCTTTTGCGGAGTTGCACGACCCCTTCAGCGGGACGCCCTGGCCACGCGTTCGCCGCCGCAAAAATTGCCCGTTCAACGCTGGCGCCGCCTCCTTGGAGATCCTGGGGGCACCCCGGGCCAGGGACCCCGCTGGCAGAAACCCGAGCCCGGGTGAGGGGGGGGGGGGGCCTCCGTCAGGGGGCACGGCCAGTTTTACGGTGGCTTTCTCGGGAGCTTTCGTCGGTTTTCGGCGGCATTTCAGCCTCGGGATGCTTCTCAGCAGGCTTCGAGGCGCAGGGTTTTTTTGAGTTTTCGTTGGTTCTCGGCGGCTTGCAGCCTCGGGATGCCTTCCAGCAGCTGCGCCTCGCCGAGGGCGTTCTGGGGGTGCCCAGATCGTCCCCGAGGGCCGCGGGAGACCTGAGGTGCGATTGTGAAACCCACCTGGGGCGGGGGGGGATCCCCGTCGAGGGGAACGACACGGGGAATTCAGAGGAAGGCGAGCTGAGATAGCGGCAGTTGGCCATCGAGGGGGGGGGGCCTCGTCGCCACGGCTGGACGCAGCCAGGAACATTGGTGCGTTTCGGATCCCGGGAGGGGTCCCGGGGACCGAGTTTGAGCTGCCTGCGGAGGCGGCCGCCGCCGCCGTCGGACGTCGGGTAATGGGGTTAAGTCGGACATGTCCCTCTACAGGAGGAGCATTCACAAATAGCCAACAAGATCGTTTGGTGACGGTTGTTTGAGCATGTTTGACGATTTGTGTTGCGCATGTTCTGGCTATTTGTTATTTAATCGCTTCGCTCATTCCGCCGGCCCGTATTGTGCCATCGCAGGCGTTTGCTTGCGCGTTCGTGGCCTCTTGGAGCCTCGTTGGGGCCGTTTGGGGCCTCTTGGCGCCTCTTTTTAGGCCTCTTGGAGAACTCGGGAGGCCTCCAGGGGGCCTCCTGAGCTCTCGTGACGGTCTCTTGGGGGGCTTTCGGCGGGCTCTTGGCGGTATTTGTTGGTCCTCTTGGGGCCTGGGGCCTGACGTTGTTGGTCCTCTTGGGGCCTCACGGGAGCTTATTGGGGCGTCTTGGGGGTGTCTTGGAGAGTCTCTTGGGGCCTCTTTCGGGGTCCTGGGCGCCTTCTGGGGCGGAGGGCTCGATTTTTCAGTTCTCGGTTCCCTTCTTGAGCCCCTCTTGGGCCCGTCTTGGGGCCTCTTGGTCCGCCTTGGGCAGCACTTGGGCCGTCTGGGGGGCGCTCTTGGGCCGCTCCGGGGCCGTCTTGGGAGCCTCGTGGGCCGTCTTGGAGCAGTCTTGAAGGCCTCTTGGGCCCTCTTGGAGCGTCCGGAAGCGAAAAGGCCAGAACGCAAAAAAACATAGAAAAAAAACAATGAAAATCAACGATTTTGGCAACTTGGGGCCCTCTTCGGAGGCCTCTTGGAAGGCCCTTGGAGCGTCTTGGAGGCCTCTTGGGCTGTCTTGGGGCCATCTGGGGCGTCTTCGGGCGATCTTTGGCCGTCTCGGGCCTCTCTTGGACCGTCTAGAAAGCTTCTCGGGGCCCTCTTGGACCGATCTGGAGCCCTCTTGGACTCCGAAACAGAACTCCGGCATCTCTGGCCCGACCTTGCCGGGACCTTGCCGGGGACTTGCCGGGGACTTGCCGGGACCTTGCCGGGGTACTTTTCGTCCGGGGACCCCCAGGGGCCGCCCCGCGCGCGCGAATTAGAAATACTGTTAACCAGGTACCGGTTGTGTTGCGCATGTTCTGGCTATTTGTTATTGTTTGTCCAACATCCGCCTGCAGGGGGACACGCCCGACCGAACCAGAGGGAGTGCGATCCATGGGGGGCGAAGGCAGGGGCACCCTTGGGGGCCTCAAGGGGCCTAAAGTCAAGGCCTCCTAGATGGGGTCCGAGTAGATGGGGTCGGAGGATCGCGCCTCATCGCCGATGCATCGACGATGCGGCTCGATGTGGAGCCCGTGTTTCTCCACGACGACGTCGCCTATGCATAGCTGAAGTCGCCGATGCATCGCCGATGCATTGGCGATGCGGCTCGATCCTTGGACCCCACCTACTCGGACCCCACCTAGGAGACCTCCGATTAAAGATTAAAGGGGCCCCAGAGGGGCACGCCCAGCGCTCGGTTCCTCGCCACCCCCCCCATTTCCCAGTATCGTTGATCCGATCCCCATCCCCCTCTTCCTCCTCCTCCTCCTCCTCCTCCTCCTCTTCTTCCTCCTCCTCCTCCTCCTCCTCCTCCTCCTCCTCCTCCTCCTCCTCCTCCTCCTCCTCCTCCTCCTCCCCTCGCTACCCGGCGGCTCGCGGCCCGGCTTGCGGGTTGGACACAAGCATGGCGAAGCCCTCGTGCCCACCGCCACAGGGCATCATCTACGGGCAAGGCTGCCCGCACGGCCCCACGCCCAGTTGGGGATATACCCTTCGAGATCTGACGGGAACTGCCTGCATATCCCCACCTACGGGGGGTAAACTGGCCAGTGGGGCCCGGGCCACGCGAGTGGGGAATAGGGATCGGTGAAACGATGCTCACATTCCCCCGCAGATCGCCCCATGCGAAGGACGAGTGGTGCCTGTTTGCTTGTCCCCCTCGGGGTCTTCGGGCCTCGGTGGTTTCGCTCGATGGCTGTCCTTGCGCCTCGTGCTTCCTGCGGCCCGCGCCTCGCTCGTCTTTCGGGCCCTCGCTCGGTCACCGCTCGTGTCTGGCCGAGCGCTCTGGAGTTGGCGCTCGACTCTGACCCACGTCCACAGCAAGAAACACCCTACAGTGGAAACCTATGCGAAGAAACACCCTGCTGGCCTCCAGGGTGCCCGGGGTTTCTTGGGTCCCGATGGTTTTGCGATGGAACGCCCCACGCTCCCACACCGAGCAATCGATGGACGCCCTGGGGTCTCAGGGTTGGGTTTCTTGTGGAAGGCCTCTTGTGGTCGAAGTCCCACTGCACGACGCGGCGCCCGACGAGCGCGCGAGGAACGTCCGCGAGCTCAGCGCCAAGCAGACCATCGACAACCGGGAGCCGCCCGCCGGCTGCCTCCCCGGCCTGGCTCCCGGGCGCCGGGCGGCGAGCGGCTCTGCTCAGGGGCCGTGTCGGGGCAGCGGGCGCGCCAGGGAGGAGGAGGAGGAGGAGGGAGGAGGAGGAGGAGGGAGGAGGGGAGGGAGGAGGGAGGAGGAGGGAGGAGGAGGAGGAGGGAGGAGGAGGAGGAGAGGAGGAGAGGGAGGAGGGAGGAGAGGAGAGGAGGAGGAGGAGAGGAGGAGGGGAGGAGGGGAGGAGGAGGAGGGGAGGAGGAGGAGGGAGGAGGGAGGAGTCGTGGAGCGTAGCCCAGAGGTCCGACGCTCCAAAGAAGGACTGGAGCGGGCGGTTTTTGACTGGTGTCGGCCTCCGGGGGCCCTCGTCGGCCCTCTTCAGGAGGCAAAACTGGCCCTGGAGAAGGGGGGACATCCTCAGAAGAGACCCCGTATCTCGAATGTTCTTGGCCCTCCTAATATGGTCTCCTCCAAGAGGATTAGGGGTACTTTCCTTGCTGACCAAGGAGGGAGGGAGGAGAAGGGAGGAGAAGGGAGGAGGAGGAGGAGGAGGAGGAGGAGGATCGTCCCCTTCATCCTCCGTCCTCCCTGCACTCTGTGGCGAGCCCCGCCCGTTTCCCTTCAGCCTCCCAGGGAGAGGAGGCTGTCGACAGCGATCAGACCACGGGCATGCGTCCCAAGGCAGCGTAGCGCCTGCTGCCTACTCCCTCCGTCCGGTCCTCCGGCCTCCCCGCCCCCTTCCCTCCTCCTCCTTCCCCTTTGCTCCGTCCTCTCCCCCCACCATCCCGTCGCGAGTCGCGACTCGTGCTCGAGTGATGGGAACTCCCTCCTTCCTCATCCCATACGCAAGAGCGGCTCCCCCCCTCCCATCCATGCCCACCTGTTCTCCTTCTCCTCCGTCCGTGCATTCGTCCTCAAATCTTCCATTATCCTCATCCAGTCTTCTTGCCCTTCGTCACAGTAGTCATCAGTCAGTGTGCAAGCCCGAATACATTAATTCCCCACTGAAGTTACAGTATGGAAATGCGTTTCCAAGCCTTTGGGCTTGCTCTGGCCATTGGCTCCTTTTCGGTTTGCTCTGGCCGTTGCCTCCCGTCGAAGCGGTGCGATCATCATAATTGTCATCCTCATCGTCATCATCATAATCATCATAAACATTCGGAATCATCATCCTCATCATCATCATCATCATCATCATCATCGTCGTCGTCGTCGTCGTCATCACCATCACCATCACCATCACCGCCGTAATCATCATAAGATGTAGCAGAAGTTCGGCAGGATAACCTCATCAGAATTCACATCATCAGCAGCAGCATTATCATCATCAGCATCATCAGCAGCATCATTATCATTATCATCATCGCCCTCCTCCGTTCTGCTCAGATCGCGCTCCATGCCAAGGAGATTGAGCAGCTCATGCGGATTCTGGCCCTCGACGCGTCCAAGAGTTACGAGGCTCCTCGACTTGCTGTCCCACCGCTGCTTGCCCTGCTTCTCATCCCCCCGAGTCCTTCCTTCTCCTTACTCCAGAAGCACAGTCCATCCATATGTTGCGTCTTGCTAGCAGCTTGTGTCTCTCCCTGTGTCAGGCACGTCCTCCGCTCCGTCCTCGTGAGCGAATGTGGACAAGTGCAGTGTGCAACAGTGCTGAGCTCGAAAGTTCGGGCACTGCTGGTGCCGGTATACCCCGCTAAGTTCGGTTCACAGTGCCATCTGGTTTGGAGGCATTGTCAGGTATGCCAGTGACGTTTGTGCCGAATGACCGTTGTGATGTTCAAGCGGAGCACTTCTCGCAAATCATTGTGCAAAGGTCAGCGGTTGTGTGCTCTGCGAGAGGGGTGTTGTCTTCAGACGAACACACGTTGAGGAGGACGAGGAGGAGGAGGAGAAAGAAGAGGAGGAGGAGGACGAGAGGGAGGAGCAGGCGGAGGAGGCGGAGGAGGCAGAGGAGGAGGAAGGGGAGGAGGAGGAGGAGGAGGAGGAGGAGCAGGAGGAGGAGGAGGATTCCACAGGGTTCAGCAGGTCCGACGGTCAGCGATCAATGAGAACAAGTGGCACGCGTGCCCTGGCTCTTGCACAAAAGAGCTGCGAAGGACTGGAGGCCCGCGCCTCCTTCTTCCAGGAGGGGGTCCAGTCGGGGCCGAGGGGGACGAACCACCACGAACCACGAACCGCGACGAAAATAAAGATGTCCGAGCTCTAGAGCACAGCTGTGCAAAAGGGTGGGTGGCTCAGGGGAGCTGGGGCTCAGGCTCAGGGAGGGAGCCGAGGGGGACGAACCACCACGAGCCACGACGAAAATAAAGGGTTCCGCGGCCCAGGGGGGCTGCCCTGGGAAGCCTGGACGGAGTAAGCCTCCGAAGTGTGGGTGGCCCAAGGGAGCTGGGGCTCAGGCTCAGGGGAGGCGCCGAGGGGGGCGAACCACCACGAACCACGAACCACGACGAAAATAAAGACGTCCGAGCACTAGAGCACAGCTGTGCAAAAGAATAATGGTTGCGGTGATGGACGCTCCTCGTACCCCCACCTGAAGGAGGAGGAGGAGAAAAAGGAGGGGGAAGGAGGGAAAATGCTGCCCCAGGATACCAAGGCCCTCCGCTACGGCTCCATAACCATCATGGCCGACCAGGATTACGACGGCTCGCACATCAAGGCGGGAGAGCCGCCGACACGGCACGCACTCGGCGGGCGATGCTCAATGAGAAGAGGGAACGTCGGGTGGCTGGAGAACGCGGATCCGGAGATTATCGTGAGTAGGTGCGCAGCACAAGCGGACCGAACGCAAGACTAGATGCGATGTTTTTTCCCAGCGATGCTTTGCATGTAAAGTGATTGCGTGAGCCCAGTGGATTGGCGAGCGCGGACTGCAGCGGAGGCATCTGCGTGAAACACCCGATGATCATGCAGAGCACTGGGTGCACGCTGATTACTACAGCCGTTGTACGGGTACTTGCGTGGAGAAATTGATATGCCAATTTCTTATGACGGCGGCTTAGCAGCAGGGCTTGGGGGGGCATACAGCGTGTACATGTCAGCCCACGCCGAGTACGAGCGTAGATGTTCGGGCGATGTGCGCTCGTTCACCGCACAGCCGCATGTGCATCCGAGGTGGAGATGAAGCCAATGCAAGCAACCACGGCAATTGTGTGTAATGTCAATTTCGCAGATGATATCATGTGAGTCGTAGTCAACATTTTATCGTCCCTCGAGATTGCCTTCTTCCCCCCCCCCACCGCTCTGTCCCCCTATCCCGCTACTTTGTCTGTCTCCTCTTCTCCTCCTGATTGTGCCGAGCATTCTCCTCTCATCCACCTTCCTCTCCTCTCTTCATCTTTCCTGGCCACTCCTGCCCCTTTTCCCACATCCACCAAGCCGTAACGATGCCGATGCATCATCTGGTTTGGGCCATGGTATCTTTTAGGCGCCTGAGCCCCATCAGACAGAGAAATGTGGTCCCGTGAAGCGCTCACGCCAAAGTCCAGAGTCCAGTCCTCCTTCCTTGAGGCTGAACATCACTTGCCCGAGCCCTATCCTCATCGGCGTGGCATGCGCCCCACTTGCTTCATTTAGCCCCCTCGATAGAGATATCAGCAGTTTCCTTAGCGCTTCGTGGGGTATATCCCCACCTGGTGTGCTGGGATGGTGGGAGTATGGATGGGGATGGGGACGGGGATGGGGGTCGGTTGAACGATACCGAGACAGGGGCGAGAGCACGGCCATGATGTGCATCTCAGTGTATGCTTTACCAGGGAGCGCGGCCGTCTGGGCCACGAATGTAGCTGGCATCGAGGCGATTTTGCACGGCCACGTGCACCTCAGTCTGTTTTGTCACGACGGAGTCGTGGCCGTCGGGGTCCAAATTGCAGCCAGCATTGAGGCGAGAGCACGACTGCGGAATAATCGGTGAGGAAGTCTCCGGCGGTTGCTGGATCTGGCGTCCTCGGACTCCCCGTCCCCCTTGAGGGACTCGTTTTTGGTCTTTCTCTGCCCCAAACCAGAGTCCTCTGGCGACACGCCATCACGAAAAAAAATGTGAGGATGGACCCGTCAAAGATGGGGCTTCTGCAGGGGGATCAGTGTTCAAGAGGAGGAGAAGGAGAGAGACGACCCGTGGAGGTGTCAGGAGCGCCCTGACATCTCTGGCCTTGCGCCAGGCTGTGGAAAATACCAGATCGTCTTCTAACGTCGGCCAAAGAGGAGGAGCACGAGGAGCACAAGCACTACAGCGTGTCAAGAGGAGCAGTAGGAGGAGAAGGCGGAAGGGGAAGGAGGTCGGTGGGTCGCGGACTTCGAGGGACTCAGTCAGCGGAGCTCTGTCTCGTGCGGGTGCGGGCAACACTGTCAGCCCGCAGCCCAAGGAGAAAGGGGAGGAGGACGCTGCCAGCGACCCAGAATCGGTTGATATTGAACGATCTGACACTTCGGAAGCGGAGGATCTTTCAAGGTTGAACGGTCCTCTGGAGCGAAAACACACAAGTGATCGCCGATCCCCAGGACATGTGAAACACATCAGAAGTGGAGCACCCAGAGGATCTGGAAAAAGATTGAGAATCCTGGGAGTTGTGTCTCCTTTGTGCCCCTGGGCCCCTTCGACGATCCCCGCGGTGGCAGACCAGCGCCAAAGTCGGCACGGCAGGAGCCTGCCGCACTGGCAGCCCTCCGTACTGGTCCGCGTGCGGGCTTGGGGGGGCCAGGACTGCCGAACCGAAGGGGGCCCGAGGCCCCCGAAGCACTTCAGCCCAGCAGTCCGAGAGTCCCCTGCGGCGAGCGACGATGGGCCGATTTGCCACCACCACTACCACATGTGGGATGAGGAGGTCCTCCCCCCCCTCCCTCCTCCTCCTCCTCCTCCTCCTCCTCCTCCTCCTCCTCCTCCTCCTCCTCCTCCTCCTCCTCCTCCTCCTCCTCCCCCCCTTCCCCTCCCCCTCCCCCTCCCCCTCCCCCTCCCCCTACCCCATCCTACATATGGTAGCGGTGGTGGAAAATGGGCGCATCCAGCGAGAGGGGAAAACTCGCTCCTCGCGGCGCGGCAGAGGCTCTTCGCCCGCGCGCTCGCGGTGGCCCGGGCGGAGCGCAGTGATGGCCCGGCAGCACGGGAAGGGGGGAGAGGCAGAGGGCGGCCGCAGAGGGCGCGCGAGGAAGGAGGGCGCCCACAGCACGGGCGAGGGGGATCCGACGTGCGATGCCTCGAAGGGCTCCCTCTTCGGAGCCTGGACCCGCGGATTCTGCATATCTGATGGCGGAGCACTGACTCGAAGAAGAGCAAACGCCACGAACACAAACTTTTGGCGCTCCGCGCGGATTTCTTGATGCATGGGTGGGGATTGAAGCAAGGTGAACCTTGTGTGCCCCCTGAAAGGAGCCCCCTGGGGCCGAAAAGGGGCGCAAAAGGTGTACGCTCCCCCCCTCTTTCCCGGCGGCGAGCGAGGGGCTGGGAGTGAGAAGGAGTAGGCCTTCTCAGAAGGCGGCGGGGCTTCTCAGAAGCCCTCCAGCTTGCTGAGAGGTCTTCTGCGTCTTCGGGAAAATCTTAAAAACTTTTCAGAAGGCTGGAGGACTTCCCAGCCTTCTGAGAAGGCCCGCCCCCTCTCACTTCCCCCCTGGGCTGGCCTCCGAAAGTCTTCCCGGTCACAGTGGTGACACTCAGGGGCCAGCTAACGGAGATCCCATGCATACTCGCATCGTGGAAA